AACCGCTCTGCAAACACCTGCCGGATTAATTCAGCGTGTCTAGACCCCCATTCCCTTACTGACACACATTTCAGAACATGCAGTTTTAATCCGGTAATTACCGTATTGTCTTGCATACGATACACCCCCACAATAAAATGCACACGTCCTCTTTGAAAGTGGAGGAGGCAGACTTTCCGTGCAGTAATATAACTGAGTAGCAGCAGCTAGGAAGCTGTCTGTGGATCCCATGCAGTTACTTTTGCTTTCACGCAGGAGGCGCTTTAGCAGCGGGAACTGCTTTTACCGTAATTCCTTGCTTGTGATTTTCATTGTAATTTCCAGGAGCTGTTTTTAAAAGAAAAAAAAAGTGTGCCGTGTGTGAGAAAACGGGGCGTTTTGTATCCAAAAAATTCAGCCCGTGTCTGTAACACGCTGGCACTTTATATAACCTTCTTTAAATAGCGTCCATAAGAAGTAATGTTCTCTCGCGTTCAATCAGACCGGAAGAGGACCGTGGTGCTCTAGTGCAGGAAAGCGAAACCTCAGATTGGAAATATTTTTCCATCACTGTTTGCTATGGAATAATACATCCTTGAAGGCACTTAAAAGTTCAGGGTGCCCAGCACATTGGAGGAGACCATTTTTTTCCTCCCATGCCTTACCTGACTTTGTGCCTTTGGGGGGTCACGTGGTCACTTTGCAAGTCTCAACGGCGAGCGGTGGCAGGGACCCCTATTCAGGGAACAGCTTAGCGATTTGACGGTCGTCTCTGCAGCTTAAACTAATCCACTTTCAAAAGGTGACACAGAGGCTCGCTGTATTGCTGCTAGTTCATGTCAGCAGCCAGTCCAAACCCATTAGCCCAATCATATATAAACATAAGAACATTAGACTGCTGGGATCCAGGAGAGACGGGGGGACAATATTTAGCCCATCACGCTTCATTCCCTTTTTATTGCTCCATCTTCTCCTTGATGCTTTCTAATTGTTTCTTCGGTGACCGCTGTTGTTCTTTTGTTTCGACAATGGAGCCTGGGAGACCATTGCAAGTGTCGATGGGTCCCCGTGCAAACCAGCCGCCTAGTCATCCTGCCTGGATTTTTCTTTCCGTCTCCCGCGGGCCTCCCTTCGTGCTAGCTGAGGAATGGGGACCGTGGGAGCCGCGGCTGCTGTGTGTCCTCTGATTATTTCAACACCCCGTCCCCCATCCTCAAACTCAAATTTACTTTATTTTCTTAAGCTTTGCTAGGAGCTCACTGAGCAGTTATTTGTCTAATGCAATGGCTCTCAGTCTTAGACTCAAGGCACCCCTGGTAGACTTGAAGGAAAATGGCAGTGTTTAGTTTTCACTTTGTTTGCCTACAGAAAAAATAATAGAGCATTTATTTTTCCTATTGCAAAAAACCCACAGCTATGCATTCCTGGTTGAAATCGCTGGGTTTATCTTGCGAACGGTGTTTGCACACCTCCTGCCGATGTAGCGTGGCACCCTTGTAAGGATCCCGGGGCACTCTGGTTGCAAATCACTGCTTCGATGCAAAAGGGGAGGTACTCAGACTGGCAGAAAGAGGACCCAGTATAGTTCTGGCTGTATCGGGGGCCCCGAATCTGGCTGTATCGGGGCCCACAAACCTTTCCTGCCTGATCCATGCTGTGGAAGTCAGTCGAGCACTAGAAGGAGACGGTATCAGGGAGTTTTTTCCGGGATGGCAGGAAATGCTGTTTTCCGTGCTTGCTCCGGACTGTTCCTTCTGTATCGTTTGGGGAGCAGCATCCACAGGAGTTTGGCCTCCCAAATCAGGGGCCTAAACCGTGTCTCCCTTGGAGGCTCACGCTGCATTTCCCCGTGGCACAATGCAGAGTTCAGGTGCAAGGTTCGAACAGCAGGGCCCAGATCTGTCTTCTGCAGCCACCCCGTTTTTGGGCTCGCTCGTCCGAGTGCCAGCACTTCGCACTGACTCTCTGTGAGGTGCGTAGTCCTGCTCATTAAGTGCCGTGAGCCTGTTTGGGGTCACAGCCCTTAGTGTGGGAGTAAGAGGGGTAGTCCTGCCGGCGGCGTGGCCCCAGGTTGCCTCCCAGTTGCATCTCGGACCTGCTCATCCTGCATACGGGTGCTGCTTTCAAGTGCGGGGGCAAACTCATCTGGCCCTGTGGGCCAGATCCAGGGCATGGGGACAGTCCACAGGCCAGATCCGGATGATGGAGCCGGGTCGTCTGGCCTGTAGGGTTGCTTGTGAAGCCTGCAATTTGGTGGCAGGAGCAGCTTTGGCTGCTGCGGTTTCAAGAACCACAGCAATCAACACTGCGGCCACCAAATGTCCAGCCCTTCCGGCCGGCCGACACGGCTCCATGCCCAGGATCTGGTCCGTGGCATCCCAGGTTTTGCTGTGACTTGCACATGTGTCCTCCCCTCTCCAACCTACCTTTCTTTCCTTCCCAAGTCAAAAGCCCTGGGTGTGCAGGGAAAGCTCTTACAAGATATCAAGCAGAAAAAAGCTTTAAAAAAAAAAAAAAAAGAAATATTTGAAGGATTTAAAAGGGAAAAAAATAGAAGCTGCCAGTGGTTTTCGAAATATCACTGTAATTTGATTGGAAGCAGTTAAGATGTGTGCGTCTGTAGGCTGTGTACGCGCGAGTGTTTCCTTCCACCCCGGGCTGCTGTTTGGTACGTGGGCTTCTTCTGCGTTGTTTTCCACCGAACGAGTTTGTTCAGCGGGACCGGTTCGATGAGGGATGGCGAAGGGCCACAGCAGTCGCAACCGGGGTCTGCTTTTCCGCAGTGCTTAGCTCCTTATTGCAACACGGTTTTCCAAAGGGAGCCAGCACCTTGCACAGAGAAACCCTTTGGAAGATGGCACCGCTTCATTTCAATGCCTTCTGGGCAGCCGTCTCCCTCCACAGACACCTGGCAGTTGTTCTGCTGGGTTTCGTTTCTCAGAGCAGGTGTGGGAACTGGTCTACTCCTAGCTCGGGGGGTTTCTCGGTGGAGGATTCCTGTTATAAAAGCTGGGAGCATGGACAGAGAGCACCCCTTCATGTCACGTTCTCATCGGTAGTGCGTTATCCCCACATCCCTTTTTTCTTCGGGCTGCTTAGCATGCGACGATGAAAACTCAGTACGCTTTTCATTGCTGGAAATTAACAGCAAGGCTCTGTGATCTTCAGGTTTTCTTCGGTGATTATTTCTCCTCGCTCCGTCACTGCCCAGCTGAGTGCCCCTTAGGTTACCCAGAGGTGGTGCAGTCTCCATCCTTGGAGGGTTTGAAGTCAAAGCCTTGGCTGGGATGATGTAGTCGGGGCTGGTCCTGCTTGGAGCAGGGAGTTGGACTAGATGTGACCTCCTGACGTCCCTCCCAACCTGTATTTTCTATGATCTATGATTTCTTGGTAACTGCTCCCTTGCTGCCACTTCTTTTCCCTTCCGAGTGTGTCTTTTGTCCTTTGGCTGTGCAGCGCTTTGTCTCCTTGGCGGGTTACAGGACCGCGCAGAAGGCCATTGGTTTGCACTAGGCGGCGTGATGAGGGTTGGAGGGGAAATCCAGTAGCTGAAGTCACCTGCATTGCAGGGATCTGTCACATACCTGCACTACCGGGTCTCGGGTATATCTGAACCAGAGACATGTACCTAAAAGAAAAAATAAAATCCTCCTAGAAGCCATACGTAGGGACCTTACTTGCTTTCCTACTGTGTTGGCCAGCTTCTAGTGTGTTTGCACTAGTGTATCTCAATCTGCGGGTGGTCCCTGGGACAAATGGGTTGTGATGGGTGGTGTCACGTGTTCCCTTGCAGGGTTTGCAAATCATGGGGATGTTGTAAAGGATTAAAATTAGAAGATGTTAGGAGATGGTCCTCTCCTGAAAGGAAATAATTTTGCAATGCCACAAGGGCATCTAACCCATGTAAAACTGCTGGAACATATATCTACTCATGTTTTACTACCTGTATTTAACATGTACTAACTTTAGTAACATGCCCATGGCTTGCAACCTGTGCAAGTGAACGTGTGACACCCTTTTGGTCATTTGAATCCTGATTCTCGCCTTGCATACCCTGTGGAGAGCAGAAGCAACTCCCATGGTATTATGCTGCTCTCCGGAGACCGATGGCGTACATACATTCCTGCATCTCACGGGACGAGCAGGAACGCCTTTGCAAATACGTCTCCATAATTGCAAAGGTCAGGCCCTTTATACATGTGCTGACCTCAGGTATTCCCACCCTCAGAAATCTCCCCAAGCCCTAAAATGGGCTTAAAATGAATGTAAATTTAAGTATTACGTTGTTTGGTGTCTGCATGTGTTCCTGACCCTGTAGCTTTTTGGGTTCAAACAAAACCGAGAAACTTTTATTGAGGAGAACAAACTTCAGTACCATGACTCCAGCTTCTACAGCTTTCAGGAAGAAAGGCCCAGTATTGTGAGACACGGCAATACAACCCTGACTGTTGGCAGAGCTGCATGAATGTGAATTGGGCCGAGCCCTCGGG